CTCTTCTTGTGTGTTTATATATATTGGAAAGAGATTAAGTTATTTAAGAATATTGAATAATTCAATGCATTAAATTTTAACCTAGCAGTTTTATATGATAAAGTAAGAAATAATTTTAAATTTGATAATAATTTATAAAATTGGTCTACCGAAAATTTAATAAAATAATTATATTAAAAATTATTGTTGAAATAATTAAGCGGATGATTTGAGGGTTTGAAATATACAAGTGGATTGAGTGGTGGTGTTGTTGAGTGTGAGTGAGTTGATGCAGCTTTCGGCATTTTGTCTTAAATGTGTAGCTTTAATCCTTACATTTTTTAAACCTTATCTTCATTCGAACATGTCTGACATGTCTTTGAGGTTTGAGCAAATGAAAGCCATGAATTCCTTTGCCAGCACAGCAGGAATGTCTACGTATTCACTGAATCTTGCATCAGTTTTCGTCTCAGTTCATTCCATCATATCAATGTATCAAAAAGGAAACATATAAGGCTATGGTTCAGGATCTCAGGAATGTCTACGTATTCACTGAATCTTGCATCAGTTTTCGTCTCAGTTCATTCCATCATATCAATGTATCAAAAAGGAAACATATAAGGCTATGGTTCAGGATTTTAGGTGGAAATTAAAGACACTAGTATCTTAAATAACAACTTTCATAATTCACCAATATAATCATTGCACAGCACAGCATGGAGATTCCTACATTCAAGGATTCCTTTTTTTTCCTTCAAAATTTAATATATAAAATACCATTTCATAATAAAACTTAACAAGATATTTATATAAAAATATTTTTTATTATTTATTGTGCAAATCTTAAAAAGTACAAATTAAACTGCATTTTATAATTATAATTTTTACTAAAACTTTAAATATTTCTTTATAAAAGATTTGTGATCAATATTACCTGAATACGTACGTAGTCAAGATGGTTTAATTTTATTAATTTCAAAATCATTTAGTAGATGATTTTTTTATAAATAAAATTACTAATTAAGATATTAATATATTGATATTCCATAAACCATACATAGTTTACGGCGTTGTTATATTTTTATATTGAATTCATTGTATATATACACGACCTACGTATTAAGCTTAGTGTAATCAAATTAGAACATGTTCATCTTGTCTCCCGTACAGTTGTGAAATAGTTTTTCTTTTTTAAGTCTTCGTAATTAAGAATCGTTTGTTACATTTTTTTTTTCCGTAAAAGGTTAAAATTAGCGGAAAGTGTGTACCCCTTGTCCCTATAAGATTAGAGAATACTACACCATCTTTCCAAGTTGTTTCTTAAATATCTTATATCGTTTTATTGAATATTACACTATCATTTTTTATGAATAAAAATGATAAATAGAGAATAATATTCTATAATTATGAGATAGAAAATTAATAACATGTTAAGGATTTTTAAATTAAATATTATTATTTATTTAGTAATTAATTAAAATTTTAAATAAATATGTTCATCAACGTAAGATTTATCGTTGTAAAAGGTGTCTAACTTGTGTCATCAGGAATGCAAGCTCGGAATTTTGTACCATTTGCATCAAATCATGATAACACTATTGCATTATATTTAAATAATTCATAAATTATTTATATTATAAGAAACGTTATAAATAATGACATACAAAAGATATTATTATAGATATAATATATAAATATAAATTTATTGTCATATAATTATATATAATTTTAATATTAATTTTAAATGAGATTTAACAACATATATTGTGCATCATTTAAAAAGTATGCTAATTACATGACAATTTTTTTAGAATAACTTATTTTAATAGTAAAAATTTAAACAACTTATAAAATATTCACTTTTATTTGTGCTACTAAGATTGAATCAATTTTCATAGTAAACAACAATATTATGTATAAGATACTATGCTGAAAATTATGCAACAAAAAATGTCACCTAAATTCTCTTCAATTAAAAAAGCAGCTGCTTATGTTTAAGACGCACTCTTAAAAATATAACCATTGCGAATACTCTAACCTTATATAAAAAGATTATAGTAATTTATTTTTATGTTTGAAACAAAGGAAGTAAAATTAAGACGACAAAATAGCCTGAAATTTTTAATTTAAGAGAAAATAATTAAAAATATTTTATTTTTTTTAAAATTTATTGCTTATTTTATTTTAAACTAAAAATATTTTTTTTTTCTCTCCCAAAACAGTAGTAAAGAGAATTTACAGACAGAACGTATAATAGAGAACATTTATTTCCTCCACCTCGCTTGTATTCTTAAATAATAAGGAAATAGTATCATATGTACAACTAATGTCATCTTTAATTCTTTATTCTTCGAACATTTTCTTTTTGAAGTGGAAAATAAAATTGATGGGAAACATATTTTCTACACTCACCGACAGTAATGGATTAAAAAAATCCATAAATAGATAATATATTTTTTACATCAATATTTAATTATAAATTAATATGTATATATATGTATATAAATATATATATATATATATATATATATACATAAGTTTGTTATTTTTTGTAACATTTTTTTAAAAGTTATATTTATTATATTTTTTTATTGATTGACAAGTGTAAAATTTTTCAATTTTTTTATCAACAAAAAACATTATAATGCCAACAAAAAAGTCTCATACTAAAGTCTCTAAGCGTTTACTCTAATCTTTAGCATTACATTAATTGTACATAAAAACTAAACTTGTAAAAATAATAAAGAAAAACATAAGAATTAATAATTTTCTAATAATGAGAAAGTTGACCTTATCAAAATTGAAGTTAGCAATTAAGGAAAAGATTTATAATAACTTATACACCCATCAACCAAAGGAGTTAGACGTCATTAGTTTGGCCGCAATACTTGTAAGAGATTACTTTCGCTTTTCAAAAATTATAAAATTGTACTAAGCTCTATTTTATTTTTTATTTAATTCTTTAAACAAAAAAAAAAAAAAAATTGGTAGTTTCTGAATCCCTAGCATCATTTTACTGGCGGTTCTAAAACCACCGGAATGATTTTTGTAATCGATCAAGAGAAACTCCAATCGATTAGAACGTTAATCGTGTGGATATCGTGCTGTTGTTTTGTGATTATTAAAAAAATAATTAATTTTTTATTTTATTTTTCTCTTGTTTCTTTTAAATTAAACAATCAAATTTTCACTTCATTTCTTAGATGTTTTCCTTTTCTTTATTTTTTCTATTACATTTCTCTCTTCTTTTTTTTTTTCTTTCTACCAAACACATTCTAAATTTTTTTTTTTAATACAGATAGCCTACACCACAAATTCAATGAAGCACCGTAAAGAAAACATGTCCAATTTTGGAAGTCACAAGACATGTCACAATCAAAATAAATTATATAAAAAATTTATTAATTTTAACAAAACATAAATTATAAATTAAAATATAAATATAAATATCATATTTTTAAGAATTTTATTTATTTATTTATTATAATGTCACAACTGATGCAAGATTTAAAAAGAAAAAGTATGTTTTAAAGCTTAGAATTCCCAAAGATTCACGATCCTATATAGATGGGCCTGCTGCAAATGTAGAGTATTAATTGAACCTTTTCTTAACACGCTAATTAGTTAATCATTTTTTTTTTTTTTGAAAAATTCTAAAAACTCCGAAACAATCCTCCGAATCTTATTCCGAATTTTTAAAATAATAATTTAAATTAAATAATTATTTTATAATAAATTTATTTAAAAATATGAATATTTTAAATATTCGGACGATGTTTCGGCAGCTTTTTTCGGACTGTATAACAGTTCTCTCTTTTTTTCTTTTTTTTTTTATAATCAATACGAATCAACCTGTATTAATTCATGATCAATGTTGGAGGGTCATATCAATTGTACATATAAATTACTATACTTTTTTGGTCATCATAAATTACTATACAAGGAAATGAATATTTAAATAAAGTATAATATACTTCCTTTTACACATTCTTATTTTATAAGGACCAGTTGTGTAAATATTTAAATTTGGCCACGAAACCTATACTACAAGTTATCGATCATTAATATTGAAAACGAGATTTCTCCATTGTTAGTGAAGCATGTTCACGTTATACCTTCCCTTATAATTGTGATTCCAGTTGGCATAAGAAATATTATATGAAGGTAGAGTATATGAGTAATTTGTTGAAGATGAATATATTCCTATACAAATCATATTGTAGGTGATACTTTTCCTTTCCTTTTAGACAACCTTCCTCTCGTACCTTTTTAGGGTTCATTCATTGTTTGTCAAATATACCTTTTAGATGTCTATTACTTTTGCTTTTTGTTCCGGTATGCCTAAAAGTCCCACATCGCTTGGGAGTGGAAGCTAAGGGTAGTTTATAAACACTCTCCCCTCTCTCCTTAACCCACCGAGACGCCTTTTAAAGGACAAAACCGTGACGACTCAACGAGTATCAAAGCAGACAATACCTAGAGCCTAGGCCACTCTTGCCCCTTAGTTTATAAACACCTTCCCCTCCCTCCTTAACTTACCAAGGCGCCTTTTAAAGGACAAAACCGTGATGACCCAACGAGTACTAAAGTGGACAATACCTCGGATGCGGTGACCCTAACGATGACTTACGGTAGGAACACTTCTATTTATTAATTCCCTTCTTTCCTCTCTTTCCTTTTCGACCTACTCTCTCTATTGGGCCACTAATAAAGCTCATATTGAATTATTGTTTCATCACGTTTTTTTTTTTTATATTGTTATTGTCCACTTGCAATCTGTTGGGCCGCCACATCCTTAGTTGTGATAGCCCAACAAGGTTTTAGGGGAGAAAAATATTGATGAGAGTTTTGCTTCCTACACCCATCTTTTTAAAAGTTGCACCTCTAATTCCTGCTTAGCGATGTCTAAATATAAAATGTTACTGTTGACAGTTTACTCTTGTTATGCATTGTTGTTCGCTTTCTACTGAGTGGCATACAAAAGAAACAATAATTTATGAAAAGGATAAGAGGGACAGAGATCTAAAACATGATACAATATAAGTGAATCATTGTTCTGATACCAAGCGCTGCCAATATTTGAGACAGAAACAACTTTATTCTTCTGTACATCATGGTGTGTCTTTTACAAATCAAAAGCAACTAAACAAGATGCATGAGCACGGTTCTTACTTAAGTCAAGAACCTTTCCAACAAGTTACCAAAGAAGAAACTAGTTTTGGCCCATCTTCGTGTCTCTGGTGCTTGTGCTTTGGCATTGCTTGGTACTCTCTTAACATCCACCATCATTGTCTTACCTATTTCCTTACGAAGTGCTTCGATAGTTTTCATGTCCACTGGGTTCCCTGATGCATCCCTCACGTAGAACACATTCAGTGCTTGCTCCCCTCTTGTTGATACACCTGCCCTGCACACTGTCAACCCATTCTCTCGTAGAATCCTTGTTACTTCGGACAGCAACCCCACTCTATCCTTTGCACACAGCTCAAGGCTCACACCCTGTGTCCACAATCCATAGTAAGACTTCAGAATTCAGATATTCTCTATTTGTTGAAAACTAATTAACATTGTAAAGAAAATGATAATAAAGAACATAAGAATTTAATTTAAATATACAGACAAAACTTTTACACTATTCTCTAATCATAAATCCTCGTTTATGTATACTTGATGACTGTTGACTTTTGTAATAATTGTTTTAAAATACATACTCATGATTTTTAACTGATTGAGAGTGTAAAAATATTTATAAAAACCTAGCATGGAAATTAAACTCATGATAATTTGCATGCCTAACACATGACTGATATTCAATTTGTCACGAGCTTAATTTGAATATGATTGCGAAAAAAAGTATTAAAAAAATAAATAAATAACTTGTCCTTCATCCGGATTTTTGTGTTTAAGATATAGGGATTTGGATGATATTACATGGAGCGTATAGATTGTTAAGCTCTATTGAAGGAAAATGACCATCATTGTCACAGTGGATATGATGGTCAACTATAATCTGAGTAGAACTTAGCCCCATGTATCTGTCGTACCATTGCAGCAATACAAGTAGATAGCTGTAGATGTAAAATGTATTCATTATGTTAAATTTAGGAAACGTTATAGTTTCTATTATAGACGTACCAAGTAGAATAATAGCAAAACTCCTAAAAATCTTGAACTCATCCTACAGTTAAAATAAAGATTACAGGAAGAATTCCAAACAAAACCAAAATTCTTGATAGAGCATGGCAGACTTAATTGGAGATGAGAATGAGAAGTTCACCACTCTTTTATTTATTTATGTATTTTGCAATAGTTGAACAAGCATATAGAAATCCATTATAATCTGAAAATTACCTCGCTTACTCTTCTTCGAATAGCAGCTTCAATGCATTTGATGACCCTTTCTTTTTCTCCTTCAGTATCAAGCGTGCATCCATCCATATGCCGAATAAAGTATTCCTAAAAGTATAACATCAACTCTTTCGTTCACATTTCTCAATTGGGTCTCTCTACTTCTAATTTAGTAAATTAATCCAAGTTTGAATATGTTTCATCTAGGTCATTTCCTACACCCCACACCTACATGCTTCAAACGTTTTGGAACAATCAAATTGAAAACATGATTTGGATCAGCTAGGTCATTTCTTACACCAGAAAATTTTTTTACAAAACATTTGAATTTAGCAGACTCAATGAATAAGTCCTATACATGATTCATAAACTAACATGTAGAGTAGAAGCATATCAATGTAATATACCTGGGATGCATAAGGGACATCTGATGAGATTGTGGCATGGAAAACAACATATTGCATATCAGTAAGAGTGCAAACAATGTCAAACATGAGTTTTGCCCGATCTTTGCACCTTACACTCACCACTGAGTAACCTTTTTCCTCACAACGTTCTATTGTGATTTTTGGCCTTAAAGAGGGATGACAATCAACATCAGTTGTTACTCCAGAACTTTCATAATCCCGATCAGCAAATAACATTTGGTGAAGCCGCCGATCCATATGGGTCAAACCCATGGAGAAACTGGTCCTAGCAACTTTGTCACCATCACATCCACGTAAGATGTTGTTGAGCTGCTCCTCCATAAGAGATAATCTGTTTGGATAATCCACAGCTTGGTTTGTAGCATCATTGACATAAAGGATGCAAGCGATTCGACTGTTATGAGTCCAAACTTCTGCTGCAACAACATTAAAATGGAGGTTGGCAAGAACAGCTGAAATCTCAGACAAAAGGCCTGGGCGATCTCTTCCAATTAGCTCAATGGCTGTATGATCACCAACAGAATGCACTCCAACCCGTTTGCTTGGCCAATTTTTCACCCCTTCTGTGCTCTGGCTCTTTGGTCCTAGAGACTATTGTAAGAAAAACTGTTAACAAGTAGCTCTCAGTATTTGATATGCAATATTATTCGGGTGCTATACGGATATGCAGTTAAGGAAATGTTCAAAGATTTCTCCCTTATTATGTTTATTTGTATATATTGAAAGAGTTGTGCTGCTTCAATATTTTACCAATTATTTTAAGTCTTTAATATAAGAATATATCAGATATATGTGTTGGAGAAAGAAGATGGTTAGAAAATTTACGTCGGGCACGAAAATCGACGTAAATTTACGTCGGACATGCCAAGGTCCGACGTAAAAAAGTCATAAAAAATTTATTAAAAAAAATGAGTGCAAGCAGAACGGCCCGTTCTGCTCGGAGAACGGCCCATTGTCCAAGTAGAACGACCTTTGTGAACTAGTGATACCAGCTTATAGCGTGGAATCTTGTTTCCCTGAGGCACATTCAAACAATATATTAATCGGTGAAGAAAATTTGTGTCTAGGTATGTTGAAAGGGGTAAAGAATGTTGAACTGAATGTATGAAAAATCTTCACTGGGTTATCATTAGACTAGGGTATTGACATTTTTTACTTAAATTTTACTTTTAGACCATGATATATCTGAAACTTAGGCAACAGTCTGATACTATTTTCTACTTTTAGATGCTTAGGTCTATCTGATGGAAATATGTCAAGACTAAGAAAATCAAGAGGTGATACATTAAAGGAACCAAGAGGAATGAGATGATTTTGAAAACCTTTTAAATGTTTGTAAATGTAGTAGTTATTTGTATAGGTTTATTTTGTCTTTGTATTTGTGAGACACTTTGTTTCCTTTTTATAGATCATTGTATAATGAATTTAGAGTAGGTTCTTTGAAGACTTTTACTCCATTTGACCTTGTATTAAAGGTCATTCATTTTTACTTTTTTAGTCGTAGAAGTGGGATGACAAATAGCAAGGCTTGAAGGTGTGTTTAGCAATTGGGCCAAGATTGAGCCAAGACAAAATTTTACATATTAAACTTAAATTTTACTTTTAGACCATGATATATCTGAAACTTAGGCAACAGTCTGATACTATTTTCTACTTTTAGATGCTTAGGTCTATCTGATGGAAATATGTCAAGACTAAGAAAATCAAGAGGTGATACATTAAAGGAACCAAGAGGAATGAGATGATTTTGAAAACCTTTTAAATGTTTGTCTTGTCTCTACCTAGATTTGCGTCAGGTGCTAATGGAGGTAGCGTCGGAAGTGAGTCAAGCAGAGGGTCTTTGCTTGATTGGGGTGGGCGTGGGTTTCGCCATGCCAGGTGTGAGAGTGAGGGACACTTTTTGCCTCAATCACGTCGGATGCGAGTGGTGCAATGTTGGGGGTGGACAATATAGGGAGCTCTCTATTTTGATGGCATCGGGCGTTGTTTGAGTAGCGTTGGGTGTGACATACCTATTGTATACTTCTTGTTTTAAGATGATCTATTGAGGAATATTGATGACCATGATGTATAAGGATGCATACCTATGTTGTAAGTTGATAGATGAATTAATGATATTAAGATGTAAGTCGTATGTTATATTGTTGTTAAGTTGTGAAGCGGTGGACATGTGGTTGAGATACATGTCTTAATTAAGATACATAGATGCTAGAGGTGAATTATGTTGTTCTTAAAGTTGGTTTTTCCTCTAGGGTCTATGTGGGTTGATATGGAGGTAGGCAAACCATATCCTAGTTGAATGACTAATCGAGTAAAGTACAACGTCGAGGATTTGGTCTCTAACTTAGTATTAGAGGGTTGTGGTATTTGGGGGGTAGTTTGTGGGCTAGTTGCATAGGTGACTTAGTGTTGCAAGTTAATGTCGTGGTAGACCCATACTCAAACTATTTTACCTTAACATAGTACCATACTTTCTAGTTTAAGTGGAAAAACCTAAGAAATCAAACTAAGTTGTCTATACATAGCTCTTTGTGAGGCCTAACACTATACTATGCTTGACTTGGTTGAGATCACTAGTACACAATACACATTCTACGTCGGTTATTTTAGGGGTTTTACGTCAGAAAAACTTCTGACGTTGAAGCGAGAGACGTAAATTTACGTCGGGCACGAAAATCGACGTAAATTTACGTCGGACATGCCAAGGTCCGACGTAAAAAAGTCATAAAAAATTTATTAAAAAAAATGAGTGCAAGCAGAACGGCCCGTTCTGCTCGGAGAACGGCCCATTGTCCAAGTAGAACGACCCATTTTCCATGGAGAACGGGTCGTTCTGCATGGAGAACGGGCTGTTCTCCAAGCAGCACGGGCCGTTCTCCAAGTAGAACGGGCCGTTCTCCAAGGAGAACGAGCCTTTCTCTAAGCAGCATGGCCCGTTCTGCTTGATAGACCCAGGAGTGGGTTCTCCAGGAATCAAAGCAACTTTTTAAAATTTGTATCTTGTTTCATTCCAATCTTGTTTAGTAAGGCTGAGTTAATGCAGTTAAATGACATTTAGGGAATTTTTCTTTTGGGCACATACCCTTAGGAAAATGATTAAATATCCATGAAATCAACTCTAAATTTTTTTTTTTTACAATGATTAGTCCCTTTTCTTTACTTAAAAGAGGCTATTTAATTTGCTGACTATTTAAAAACAAACTTGTAATTCCAGAGAACAAAACTACTAAACCTTGGGGGGTTCATTCTATTGCTGAAGTTCTCGTACTCAGGATCAAAATACGGCCAGCAAACTTTAGCCATTTAATCAACTTCTCCGGTCAATGAGGTGCTTTTGTTTTCCTGCATGAACATGAAAAAAATTCAGATAAAAAATTTTATCAATAAGAAAAAATGTAGTCATTTTAGGGCTAACATATTTTTTGGATTTAATAGTTTTCACACATGACCGAGTATTCAGTGATGACTTAGTTTTATATCACAGTCTATAATTTACCTCAATCCAGCAACCCCTAGTAAGTAATTAGTAATAACTATAAAGTTTTGGACTTGTGGTGCAGTGATAAGTAGCATTACTCAAGGTAAATGTTAACATAGCAAAAGCAATAACAATGTGTGTTCATAGGAAAAAGGGGTTTAGATATGTTATTTCTATTATTTAAGTTATTTTTGTTTGAGTCAGTAACAGAAGATTATAATGTAAGATGACTAGTAAATTATGTTTTCTGTTTCTTTTGGTTTTGGACAACATTGCTACATTGGTGCATATTCTTTATTCTTCCATCAGACTGAAACTCTTTCTCTCTCCTAGGTGCAAGTGATCAATTTAATGCTTCAGTCACTCACTGTCTCACTATTTCAAGCATTCCTCCTTACTATGGAATCTACGATTCTGCATGCTCTTTGAACATGATTTTAGGAATAAGGTAAATGACTAAATGCTGAGTGTTCCATGTGCAGTGAATTAGCAAAAACAGATGAAGATAAGAATAAAGAGTTAGCAAGAATGCCTGGAGAATCACGGCATCAGCTAAAGGATTTTGCTTTTTCCTTTGAGCATAGCCAAAAAGCATTTTACTTTACAAAGTTCACCATTAAGTTGGTTTGGATTAGAAAATGTAGGCAGGAGTTGAATCTGTGTTTTTCAAGTTTTCAGATAATAATTCCCCCACCCCCCATTTGATAAAGATTCATTCAAGAATCATTCTATTACACCAATCTTCATGTAATGCAAGAATGAGAAATATTACTAATATGCATTGGAGGTCAAAGATGATACCAAAACCAAATAAAGTCTTATGTTTAGCTAACTCTTTAAAATGACATAAAATTGGAAGGTGTGACTTTGAGGAGTTTCAAACGAAGTTAAAATTCAATTTATCGAAGAGACATTAGCGGGCCAGTTATGTGATGGCCAGAGGAATGAAACTATGCCACAAACTTGTAAAAAGGTAGCATGCGCTTTGGTGAGTAACGCAATAGATTCTCAAACCAAAAAAGCAAAAACCATTTGAATGTGACATAAAGATTTGATTCCAATACCATTTCGAATACTAATTTTTATTTTTGTTTTCATTCATCACACACGGTACTACATCCATGCCAAATTGTCATCCCCTATTATCTAAAATTCTCTCAATCCAACTTGACCATGACTCTAACCAAAGAGATCTTCTATTAATAGAAACAATAATAATTATGAATTAAGAATATAATCGGTTGAGACATTTTCTACCCTTTTTCTCAAAGAAAAACAAATAAATATTAGCATAAAGAAGTTATAAATTTATGGGTTTCTCTTTTTTTTTTTTTTCAACGTTGCCTTATCCAAGAAAAAAAATTTTGTTGAACCTGGATCCTGAGACAAGTTTGTACAAAGCTATCGAATTTATAATATATATATATATATATATATATACAAGAAAGGATGAGAATAGTTAATGTCTTAAAGAAGGTCTAATGTCCTGACTTTTTAAAAGTCTGGCATAACATAACTGTTGAATAAAAAGACCTAATTTAGATTTTTAAAACAGTATATTTATATAAAAGATTATGTTAGGCTTATAAAAAAGTAAGTTTCTTAGACTCGATAAATTAGTTTATTTATTTATATAATATAATAAAAAATTAATATATATATATATATATTATTAAAATATAAATAAACAAAGAAATTCATAAATAAAATAAATAAATTATCAATATTTAAAATATTTTTATATAAATTTTTTTATTATAAATTTATAACCTTTCGATCTATGTATTAATGTACATCAACATATATGATTATATATAAATTATTCTTTTAATAAAAAATAATTTAATTTTTCTCTTATATTTCTTTTAACATTAACAATTTAAATAAATTAATAGATTACGCCAGACATTAAAAAGATTAAGTTTATCCTAAACTTTAAAAAGATTAAATCGTGCTTATAAAAAAAATTTATAATAAATAATAGATAGGTTTAGGCCATAATTTTTCGAGACAGACCTCATGCATATATTAAAAGTCTGGTCTGAAACCCTATTTTCATTCCTACATGCAAGTCGGCACTTACGCAATACCCGAGTGAGCCAACTACTTTAAA